CAAATGGGAGAAACTCTGTATTGTATTAAGGGATCTAAACTAAGTCAGACATTTAGGCTGAGCATATCCTAGCCACTAAAGAAGTCTCACTCTCCCCTTCTCTGTTCCTGCTGTCTCTCTACTTAATTTCATGTTAAACCTTTGTCTTTAGCTGTCTTTCCAGGGGAAAAATGCAGTGCTAGAGGAGAGGACCATCATTACAGGTCAATTACCCCAGGACTCTGTTAGCAAATCTCCATAGCTAGCAATATTTTGGCCCTTGGCCTGGCTGTTTGCTGGTCATCAGTCACCGGTAAAAACAGAATTGTGTAGTCTACTTCCACACTGGCAAATGTGCTGGAATCAGAACATAAAATATCCACTTCCCAGATCTAAGACTCACACTCTGCAGGGCTCCATAAGGATATATTCAGATTTGCTTAACTTAGTTTAGTACAGTTTTGCCAAACTTTGACTCATTCTCTATTCTCTACATGCACAAAATATTTCACAGTAGATCAGCTATTAGCATTATCAATGATTTTTCTTATAAGGAAGGCCAGACTATGACTTACTAGTATGTAAAGTAGTATCAAGAACTAGAACCTGCAGCAGGTATCTCCATTCTTCATAGATTAACAGGTGAATCTCTGCATGCTTAGTTCCTTTTTTATGTTTATACTTATTCATTTTGTATTTTATTATGTTATTAATTTTTAATTTCATAATGATTTTACAATTGTTATTACTCTTATATTTATTAATTCTCAGGTACACTATTTCCTTCTCTCAGTTTCCTAAGGTGATTGTCCATTATGAAAACTTCCTATATATCTTCAGAAACAGCTACTCAGTCTTCCTCGGAATTGTAAACATGACCATGGCATTGTAAGGTTACAGTAAGAAAAGCTTCCCCCAAGGGATATCTTAAGTGTTACTAATAGGGGACAAATATATTTATGTTATACCAACTACTGTCTCTGGAGCAGATTGAGGCAGACAAAACTGAAAAGAAGCAGTCCTTATGGCCAGAAAGCTACTACTTAGCTTGCTTTCCCTTACACATCCCACACTGCTGACAGTACCTTTTAATCACACAAGTATACTGCTGCCTGCATAGCGCACTGCTTAAACAGCACCTGCCATGATCAGAGGGGGCTGTGCACTATGAAGATGTGCTGAGGTAGAAAACTGCTGTCCTTCGGTTATTCACAGTTGGCTACCACAGCAAAAACTGAAAAAAGTATATGGGATCTAGACACTGGGTCCGAAGAAAACTCTTTTATATTTTCTAGGGGAAAGAAAACCCACATAGACTGACTGGAATATACATTTTTTTTTCACTCCAATATTGGTTTCAGTGTGAACATTGATGGAAATCATGCCAGCCCAGCTGATCTGACACTGTTACCAAAAAACATGGGTAGGAGAGAAAAATGCACCATCATGTGCATATATACCAGTATGTTCACTTCATATGCATAGGTATAGCATTCAGCAAGGCATGGCTTTTGATGCCTTTAGCACACTTGAATCCTTGGTTAGGCTAAACTTATGAACACAAAGAACATTACTGCTGTTTAAGGAAAAAATGCTTATCCATTAGGAAGCCCTCAATACCTGTTCTTTCTTTTGCATTGCCAAAATCTGTCCATTATATGGATTTAGCTCTGGTCTGAAACTAGCATCTGGCATTAATTTGTTAGTCAGCCTCAGCAAAACCACAACACCCCACAGGTTTCATATACTCCTAGCCACTCTCTGTGACATTCACAGTGCATATCAGAATGAACTAGAGCTTACCTTTAATGTACTTCAAATTAATGATTAGAGCAATGCTCTTAGCTGCTTGTCTATCTCCTTTTCCAGCTGAGATGACTTCATAGGTATGTTTCTTCTGATCCATTCAAGCATCCAGTCAAATAGATTAAACCACAGCTAACCTGGTTATGAATTTGAAATGGAATATGGGAAGATAAAGGAGGCCCACAGCTGGATGCTGGCTTCAGCTAGGAAACAACAGTTTCCTCTGCTGCCTGCCTCTGAGCTGAAGCTCACATTTGCTAGTGCTAATGTTTTTTTTTTCCATTCTGCTTCATTAGCCAAGTTTATGCAGGTCATTCTGATCTCATCCAGGAAAGGCAAAAACTGTCATCCCTTCCACACTCACACCAGCAACTGCTGCAACTGCAGTGCTGAGACTGACTTCCAGTAGTCAGCAATGGAGTAACAGAGAGAAGTGTCTACCCAGGTAGCCACCAGTCTCCCTCAGGAGTTGCCACATATTAATTTTTCAGTGCTACCCTGGAACAGAGCAGATGAGAAACACAGTGGTATTGACTGGGAAGCAGTAGAGAGATGACTGACGGCCATAAAGTCACTGGGCCTAAAACGCAGGCAGGAGTCTAAGTTGCATATTCTGTACAGTTAAGCAAAGGTATTTTTCCACTTTGAAACATATTGCACTTTTTTTTTTTCTTTTTTACCTTGGCCAGTGCTGTTTACAGAAGACAAAACCAAGCAAAAAAATTATTCAGTGTAATTCCTCTGACACATCACTCAGTCCTAGTTCTGGCCTCTTTATAATCTCATCTCTTTTCTCTGCTTTTCTGTGATTACAATATATTCCATTTCCACCTCTTTCATTCAGAATTTCTTTCATTTTGTTAGGGTTCTGCTGTTCACAGTAATTCCTCTCTTTCTCCTTAGTTCAGACAAACCTGGCAAACTTGCATCTTCATAATGCACATCAAAGACAGTGCATTATTTTTTGCTTTCTGTTTCGGACCACAGTATTTTTGTACTGAGAGACTTGTAATAATTCAAGCCCATGTGAGTACTCAGGAAAGAGACTCAGATCTCTTATCCCACCTTTGTCCAGATAAAAATGTACAAGCAATAGCCAATGTTATGCATATATTACCCATGCTGATGCTTCTTAGTTTTCCTTCTTAATTTGTTTTGAAAGAAGAATATAGGACCCTATAAGAAGAAAATGTTACATGCTGAACTAATTCTTGCTGATGTGATGACATATAAAACAGCTTTGCAAGAGTCCAAGATTTGGTTGATGCGTTTCACTCACTACCACCATCTACTGTGATGTTTGAGAGACTGATGCTGTCCTAGACTGCTGAACTAACAGAACAAATGTCACCAAAAAAAAAAAAAAAATTCAGGGTCAGGACCAGTTTGAAGTAAGAATATGATTCTGACAAAGGCCAGTCAGTGCACAACTTCTAGTTATGTGAGGTGTACTGAACTGTTAAGTAAAAGAATGTATTGTGTAGCATCCTTTTGAAGATCCTGAAAGAAAAATGTAGGTGAAAATCCTGTCCTTTTCTGAAATAAACACCAAAATTCCCATTCACTTTGTTAAATCAGGACTTCATCCCTTGATTGAAGCAGAAATCAGTTTTGAAGCTGGGGCAGCAGATGGCTGAGCCAGGATTTGGGACACAGATTTCAGGAGTGTAGATAGGATTCAGAAAACGCTGGCAATTAGGAATGGAAATCATAATTGAGCCAACAGATATAAAACTCCTGAGATATATCATGTCATTTAAATTGAACATCATAACTACCATCTTTCTAAATATTTTTTTTAGTGCCTCAGCAGAATACAAATTTCATACAATAACATTGACACCACAGAAAAGACTAATGGCCTGTTAAGAGAACTACTATGAAAATAATGAAGTTCAGAAGATATTTCCAAGCACTTAATATGCCTAGAATAAAAATATTTCTGGTTTACTTTATCTGAAACTCATTTCTGTATGCCAAACACTGTTGTCACAGCATAATATATAATAAATTAAATTAGTATAGGATAAACTCATAAGTAATTCCATGACATAAATTTTGTTAATATGATGAATATTAAAGCACTATTAATGTGGAATGATTTGCTATAAAATGGCATTTTGGCAAATAAAAATGGATTAGAAAATATCTATCAAAAACTACTGGAAAACATAACAAAAAAACTTCATACCAGTTAGGAAATAAATAACTATATAGCTTTCCATGTTAAACTTAGAACTAGGAAATGCTTTCATTTAAATAAATGTGAGGTATGCAAATTTATTGCTGTGAGAAACTGTTTCATGTATACACTATTTACAGTAACAGAATTGCCTTCAGCACCATTCATATGTGACTAACATGAGCATTGAGCAGAATTTGAAAATGTAATGAGACCAGGTCAAGAACTGTAAAATAATCTACAGTTTACAGGGTAAAAAACCCCAAAACAAAACAAACAAACAAACAAAAAACCCAACCAAACCACCACAATCTGAATAAGAAAAAAAAAAAAAAAAAATGGGGGGGGTTTGGCATTTCTATGAGCAAACAATAGTCCTGGTTTGGTTAACTCAGTGGAAGTTGCTTGATGTTCAGTATCTGGAAAAAATTAGACCATTTAATTAGCTGCTTATAGTTGCCAAATCTCAAATCCTCAATTTCTGTTTGAATCTTGGTCATTGTACTTTTGGTCTCAAACAGCCTGACTTGGGATAAAGGGAGAGATTTAGCAGAATCTCCTAATGCCCACACTATCTCACTATATTTTTCCCAAATTAATTGGATTAAAAATAATAAATATAAGATTAAAATTGAACCAAAAGATAAAGGAGATTTTATACAATGGGAGAGCAAGCCTTTTCTTTGCATACAGCAGTATTTCCAAAACAGTAAGTGGAAAAACAAGTGTGATCACACAAAGGAACTTTCCTGTGTCATAATTAATCATGTTTTGGTTTTTATAAGGAAAAAAGAGTTCCAGAGGTTATCAAAATATTAAACTTTCAGTTTTTCTGTCCCCTTTCTTTCCAGTATATTCCTGTTATAATGGGGACCCTGTGTATTGAAAATCACTGAAGAGCAATCAAAACATTCATCTTCTTTCATTAAAGAACAAATATATTTGACATTATACATTCTTTAGAGTGTTCACAAGATGTTGACAGTAAAGAACATTTTATTTCTATTGAATATTTCTTCTTTGTTATAAAAAGGAAAGTTTACATGTATTGAAGTTCGATTTCACCTTGAGAGGCAGATGGGTTACTATCTCATCCAGATGTACATACCAAGTCTCTTGATCGTCATTCTCTCTTGGGTGTCATTTTGGATCAATATGGATGCAGCTCCAGCCAGAGTGGCTTTAGGCATAACAACTGTACTGACCATGACAACACAAAGCTCAGGTTCACGAGCATCTCTTCCAAAGGTAGGCCGAATTTCCTTTGTTTGTACCACATTAGTACAAAGTCATAATGCTATATGACAAGTAAACACCTTCAGTAAACCTTATGTGTTTTAATTATTAGTATTTAATCATCTTCTAAAGGAGATAAATGACTTTGAAAGATTAGGGGGTTTGTGAGTCACCAGTCAAATATATTCTATTTCTCCCCCATCTCAGCTATTTAACTAACCACATCTCTACTAAATTCCATCAACCTTGACAAGTGACGAAAGCAACTGTATTCAGTACTACATATATGTTGCTAAGCAAATGACTAGCTCGTCCTTTTCCAGATCCCAGTATCTGATGACATGCTAGCAGATATGAATGAATTTCTAAAGGTCATACATTCCAATCTGTTCTCAATGATATTCCTTTCCAAAAACCTGCCTACATTATTAATTAATTTACTAGTTACAAACACAGTTACATTAAGATGTGAGGCTAAATAGTGCCAAACAATTGTATAAAGAATGGTCCACTACACAATATAAATAATCTAAAGTATATTTCCGTGATTAACTAAGTTTTCTGACTTGTCATTGTATTAAGTGGTTGGTTTTGGTTTTTTTTTTCATTTCAAGGGTTATTCCTTGACAATCTTCATGTGCCATTGCAGTTAACAGAAATAAAATGTATACAATAAAAATACACAAAGACCACTTTTGTGTTAGTTTTAACATGGTATTTTTAGGTTGGCTAATTAAATATTTTTTTTAAGTAAAATAGATACCCCTAGCAGAGATGAGTGTGCTTTGTGTCTCAAATATAGCAATCTGAATGCATCCAAAAGTAGCAGCAGCAGGTAAGAAAACAGAATGGTATAAAAACACAGAAAAGCAAGAATATAAGAGGTTACCAAAGAGAGCTACAGATGGGTTTTGTCACATTTTTGAGGCCTGAATCTAGCTGTGTTGGCTTATATGAAAAAGCTCTTGTAAACCTGCACACAGAGAGGGAACAGACCCTACTTTCCAAGTTCAGATTATGTCCTGCAGCTGAATTTGGCAATAAAGGATTGCAGTGAGTTCATATACTCTGCAATTTATTTTCAGTACTTCCACTGTGTCAAAACTACAGGACCAGTGTGAATCTATAACTTTGATTTACCATGCCTATATTAGCAGAGAATGAACATATTGGAGTTCTCCATATATCTCCCTTCTTCTACCTAATTTGTATTACAGAAATTTTAAATCAGATCCATTATAATACAGGAATTCCTACTGGTCCCACTATAAGCTATTCTCTGGTTCCTTGGTACACTCTCAGATCTCAGTGGGACAAATGGAGGAAGAACATGTGCTTCTTGTGGATTATTTGATTTGTGATAAAATACACAGTACACTATGAGGAACTGTTAATGTCATAAACAGTAAACACATTTTGTGAAAGACTACCTTTTAAAAATTAATATTTCAAGTTTATAGATGGAATTGTTGTCCCTCCTATTATCTAGCTTTCCTGTTAAGTTGTGTTTGATAAAAGTAGTGTTGGGATGTGGAGATATTAAAGCACTTACTCCTGACATGAAATACTAAACACATCTCTGGTTTTAACATATTCAGTCTTCTGCTCTATTCTCTCCATAGGTGTCATATGTCAAAGCAATTGACATCTGGATGGCTGTGTGTCTGCTCTTTGTATTTTCTGCACTTTTGGAGTATGCAGCTGTAAACTTTGTGTCGAGGCAGCATAAAGAACTTCTGAGATTCCGTCGCAAGAGGAAGAAGAACAAGGTAAAAGTAACAGTATTCACAACTTTGAAAGAGAGTCTGAGATTGATTTATGCCAGGATATAGGGTTAATTTGGTAAACATACTGCAGCTTAAAGTGGCAATATAAATAAAATGGCAGCACAGAATGAAATTCACTGTAGGCAGAGGGTCACTACAAGGACTATGCACTGCATAAATCCAACTTGAATTCTCAAAAAGGGATTAAGAGGGATTTAAATGAGGCATAGGCCATGTGGGAGCCATCTGCACAGGCATGAATTTCACTCTGTTAGAAGAGTTAGATTATACTTCAGTGGATGAATGTTACTGGTACCTGCAGCAGTTTGTACTACACTGAGATTCAACAAATAATGCTTCCTAATATTATTCCAGTATTCAAAGCTTTAAAAGCTGTGTTTCATGTAAATATTTTTAATAAAAAAAAATACTTAATATTATTGGTGGAAGAATAAACACTTTAAAAGGCTGAGAAATTTGAGAGTTTTTCCTTCTGTCAAGTTAGTGTAAAATGTTCATATAGCTAGTAAGAAACTTTAATACAATAATGGTTATTAATATTTATTTTATAGCTGAAGCTATCTAGACTATGAGTAAAATAAGCCACTACCACTGAACAAAGTCAAGCAGCTAAGGCTACAGGTTTGAATTCTGAAGTCCACAGTTTAAGCAAGCAGTTAGCCAAATTTCTTACAATAGTATGTAATTCCTACTTAAGATTTTTCAAAGAGTAAATGTTTCTTCAACATACTCATTGAATGAGTACCCACAGTGATGTCATGCAGAGCCTTTTCACTGGCTTTCAGTCACTATCTAGAACACTGCTGTGGATGAAAGTGACTGAAGACTTACCTCCATTTACTGTTTACATCACAAGGAGAAGACATTTTAAAGGTTGTTTCCCTTTTACTTAGAAAATATTTTAAATCTGTAATGCTGTAGTCTACCTAAGCAGTCTCTACTAGCAAGACTTGTGTGAAAAGGCAGGATGGACAGTCAAATGAAAATGCCATTTTCATACATTTGCCTGTTCCTGTGTGTCGAGTCCTAAACATCTTCAGGTGCAGAAAGCAACTCATGTATTGTAGCCTAGAGGATGATTCAGACTGCATGTACCTGCTTTTAACATCTGTACCTGAGAAAAATGTGCTTTTTTCTTTTCGCTGGCAGTAGCGGGAAAAAATGTTTTCTGAGACACACAGGAAGAAAGCTGCATTTTGTGACAGGGTATTTGTTTTTGAAATATGGCAGCTCTCTGAAAGCTGCTTAAAAGTTTGGAATGGGAGGAAAGGGATGGACAGAGAAAGATTACCAGACAGGGGACAGGTAAGCCACTACAAATGCATCATGTACCCAATACAAACAGCTGTGGTGAGTGATATATTATGTGACTATACTTTTAGTCCATTCTTTTTTTCACCATGTATTATAGTGTCTTCTGGATCTCAGGCAAGTTTACCATATTCAACTTTAGAGATATCTTTTCATTTCCTTACATGTCAATTACTATAACAGGGTTAGAAACTGGCAGGTAATATCACCTACCTTCCTCAGAATCAAACCAGCCTCTTTCCAGCTCCCTTTTAGCAGACCTCAAGCTTACCAAAGACACTTCAGCAATCAGAATCAATACAATTTCAGCTCAGAGGTATCCAAGGAAGGACCCATAATATACAAAGCACTTCTAAGAGGAGATCACTTAACAAAAAAGTATGTGCATGAATAGTCTCATTGACTTAAGTGTTTTGCTGGATCAGTACTTGACATCACGGTATTTTTCAATTCACACTTAAAGGTCATTATTCTAATTTTACACTTCATTAGACAGTCTTCTAGCTTCAGGTAGGTTGCATGCTAGGTTCTCATAAAATTAGAGGATTCAACTTAGAGACTGCAGGGTCTATAGTAAAGTATCAAGTACTTCCCTTAGATTCTGAAAGATGAAGACATGCATTTCAATGTTTTTCTCATAACATACCCAGGTGAGGGTATTGATTACATTCAGGGTATATCGCTTTCCTTTCCTCCCTGTATCTGTATGTTTCATCATGAGACAGGTTTCTCAGCCTAAATTTACAAAAAAAAGTCTTTTTTTGCATGCAAGGTTATGATTTTGACAAATAGACATTTTTCTGGAAAAATGAATTTGACTGAAAATTTCTTGACTTACTCCAGTTCTGTGTAGAGCTAGAGCTCCTGGCCAGAGTTAACCTTTGAGAATACACCTTCTCAAGCTCTAGAGACAGCCTTGCTAATTGCTTCTTTTTTTCTTAATGTTTTATTAAATCATTTCTTGCCCAACAAGTATACTAGAACTTGAAACATTACAGCATGGAGATTTTATCTCTTAAAAAAAAAAAAAAAAAAAGTTGGATTGCATCCTAAACCCTCTGGTATACAAATAATAAATGATGTTTTATGGATTAAAGAAAGCAGTTATTAACTAGCCTTCCTTACCACAAATGTTATTATTTATTCACCACAAATTCTAACATGAAATGCAGGCCCTAGGATCATAAGTTAAATTTGTGTTTCCTTCCTCTTTTGTCTTTTTCAAAGTCAGTTACTATAGCTCATTATTATAAAGTTTTGTATGTGTTTGTCATCCCTTTGGAGTAGGTCAAACAGCCACTGTGTCTCAAGAATTGTATTGACTTTTAAAACTACCATGTATAAAGAAATGCTCATTTAACCACAAAGTCAAAAGATTTGAAAAGAAGTTAGGCTAAAAGGCTGCATTTAAAATAAACTTTAGGGGCTTCGTTGAACATTAAGTCCTCTTTCTTTTCAGAGTGAAAACTGCTATTCTATTCAGTATTTATGTCCAAATAGATCATAAAAATAGAGCAGTTAGGATAACTTATTAGACTTTTTTATACCATATTCTTACCCTCTTGTGACACTTTACTAGGATTAGGTTTTTCTATCATTTCAACGAATGAATACAGAAATTTTTGGCACTTTTTATCTTCAAGGGTACAGCAAAATTTCTAGTGATTCAACTGGTGCAAAAGTCAAAAAATAGATGGTTTTGGAAATGTTTCATTTCAGGTATATGTTGACAGAAGAGAACATGTATGAATTATATGTAATTACAATAGGGCAGCTGAAGAATTTCCAAAGTTTATTTTCTTTGCAATTAAAAGATATGCTTGTTGTAAGAAATACTCACTTTTACCAAGTAACCCTAGCAATGGTCAGACAATGGAACTTCAGTGTTGGAATGCCCTTGGGAGGTCAATGAATTAATTTTCCTAACCTAAGTCAGGATCAGTTGTACCTAATTTATCACAGTCATAAAAATTCCACAAGCTCCCTTGCAATCTATTCCAATGATTTAGAAAGCTTTTTACTCATGCCTTTTTTGGCCTCATGGTTTGTCGAGAAGGGACAGAGAGAACAGACTAGTTCATTCCTTTATGTAGATATTTGCACATCTCCATTCAGTCATCTTTTCTTTAAATACTCCCAGTTGGTACAGTCTTTTTTTATTGTTCATTCTCATTCTCCTTCCCTGGAAATTCTCCTCATTGGTCCATATAATTCCTCAAAACTGTGTTTGCAACATGAAACCTATCCAGTAACATTTGAGAGCAGCTGAAGGATCACATGATGCAAGTTATACACTTGTTTATCCAAACCAGTTTGACATTTGCCTTTTTAACAACAGCATGGTATTGAACCATATCAAGATTGTGATCTTCCATAACTCTTGGGCCTTTTTCCGGAACTACTATAGAGCCATTCACTTTCCATCTTATGTTTGTGAAGTTGATTATTCCTTGCTAAAAATGTAGTACCTTGTACTTGCACCTACCAACTCTCCTCCTGTATTTTTCAGACTCTTTGTCCAAATCACTGAATTAAATTTTAACTCTTAAACTTATCTTCAAACAAAATTGGCAGGTTGAAGACTTTTGTAAATTTAATCAAAACTATGAGTTATTCCTTCTCAATGCTGATTAAAAACACAGAACTGAAATCTCTCTCTTAAAAAACATATGATCTAACTCAGATAAAATCCCTGCAGTAAATGAGTGTAGCAAACAAAATAAGAGCTGCTGAGTTTTATGGAAAATTACACAGTTATACAAAGTGTAATTATGTACAGAGGTGTCAAGACATTTTGGCATCCAAAGCTCATCTATCCTTGCCATTTTTCTTATGCTTTTTCCACCTACAGTCACTGTCTCTTTCTTATACCATCTAGTACATTTGCAGCCTCCCTTCCCAGACAACAGTAACAGCAGTATCAAAGGCGATTCTTAGGTATAACTGCACCCTCTGTCTACTATTTTTATGGTTGTAAGTATGGATCTCATTTAATGATTCCAAATAACTGAAAGGCAAATTTCTTTTCAGAGGCCCAGTCCAGTTTGCACATAATTAACAAAAACTTTTAAGTGTCTGGGATTGTGTTGTAAATCTATTTATAAATAAAAATTGTTACTGCAACATAATATGCAACCTACTTATTGCTGTTTTCCAATAGATTTTTCCAAAAGGGACTCATTTCTTTATGATAACACAAATAACATAATGAATCCTGAGAACAGGGGAATTTTGGTTCCTGGTTTGAGACTTCATTTTGCATATGATCCACAGTGCTTTGTCAGAGAAAGAAGTCCAGCCAATGAACACAACTATTTCACAGACATTATAATACTAATGTGATGGAAACATTCCTTCAGAACAAATAAATAATAAATACTAATTTAAAGTTACACTCCTTTCAGTCTTGAAAGACAAAAGGAAAAAAATGGCAGAATTAGAAGTCATACGAGGGATACCGAAACATATCTGTAGCCAGTGCTTTTTCTTAGTGGCATTTACACTGTACAGAGAAAAACATTATCTATGTACATATGATGAATAACACTTTGATTTTAGATTAGCTTTTAATATATTAGTTTTCAGGAATAGTCAATCTTTTAATTCTATTTTCAAAAATCTAAAGATCACTGTATCTTTAGTGAGGAAAATAGACATGCAAACTAGATTGTCTTTAATGGTAATCACACCTCTTTTCTTTTGCTTTCTTTTTGGTCAACCCATCCGTTTTGATGAAAGTATTTTGAGGGAGTTCTTGATGGAAATGAAATCAGTGAATCATTGCAGCATAGCAGTGGCTTGAGATGTACAGGACCTATAGACGGGACTTTGCCTCAAATCTACAGTACAAATTTAAGGGTAAACTATGAAGAAGATGTCCCATTTGTCATAATGTGATATCCAGTCATTAATAGAGGCCCTGTCCTTTTGTCTGAAATAATGTCTTCCCATGTGAACTCCATATATCTTCATTTCTACTTGTATGTGATGACGTGAAATGTTAATAAAGGTACATGTCTTGTTAATTTTGTAATCCATTTTGATCTGTTTATATCTGGATTAAACACAGTATTAAAATTTTACTTTCTGCAACTGCAAAGAAAGAGTGACATCAGTTCAAGGAGAAAACAGTTGCTATCAGATCAACATTTAAAACCAAGCTATTTTAGTGCAAAACAATTCAATAACACTTTCCTTCTCAAAAATGAACAGTAAAAAATATAGTGTTCAAATAACCAAAGCCAAGGCTTCAAATAAGTCCAAGCTTTTACCACAACCTACAGTCAAAAGGCTATGGAGATCTTTTCAGCCCTTATGCATATTACTTGTCAAGAGAAATGTATTATTAAATATATAGACAGAAAACAGCATAGTCACAGGGCCACAGGAACTGGCAGCGTTTTAATTCTTTATAACTAAGTATTTAGTAGAACAACACTGATACGAAAATAAGCCAACAGAAATTATTTCCTTCAGGCCTCCAAAGAATTCTAACTTTCTAAATAAAAATTGTTATCTAAATTTATTTCCTAACTTTAATTACAGTAATTTTAATAGAGATATTATATATATGTAGTTGTATGCAAAATAATTTTCAAATTCTTAATTTCAAAGCTGTGAAAAACACATTCATATTGAACCTTTATTAAAGTTCATTCATAACAAGATTTTAAAAGCTCTATCAAAAATCAGTAAAAAATGATTAATTTTATGTAGTGATGATGCACTAAACAGATATACAAAAGACAAAAAAAAAAAAGCTTCCCTGTTACATTTTTTAAAAAATCAATCAAAATGCAAGTCTTCTTGAGGAAGATTCACTGTCCAGATTCTCATCTGGGACATACAGGATACTTCCATTAGATGACTGCAACAGCTGTGGACTCGAACACATGCATCATGAGAAATATTTTTAGTCAGAAACAGGGACTGTAGCTAAGTGAATTGATAAAACAAATGGGGTGTCACTGGCATTTTATAAAAATGCCTTCAAAAAAGCACTCAAAAGTTAGTATCAATAATAACCGTAACTGCATCTTTCCTGCTGGGCACAAACACCCTGAGATATGAACCTAAGGACAAATTAATGATTTTTTTGAATTATGTACCTGCTGAAAAACCTGTATAACCACGTTTTGAATATTCCAGCAGGTACTCCAGAAAAAAAACTATGCTGGTACCTGGCATGTTACAATGCTCTGGAAGGTGCCCTTTCCTGCATATCCATTAGCCCTCTGGTCTGAATTGGAAGGCTCCAACCATTCTGACTGCCCTGATGAAGGCACCATCCAACAGACATGGGTGCAAATGCTAGCCTCCAGCCTGCTTGCAGACTAAATGCAAGATGTCTGCAAGCAAAAAAAAAAAAAAAAAAAAAAAAAAAAAAAAAATCAGAGACCTGGCCTTTAAAACCATTCTAGGGGATTACTCCATTCAGGTAAATATAGAACAGAGACAGTACAGTCTTAGTATATAGTGCCTCAACCTGAAAACATACCCAATTGAAATCTTCTACACAGAAGAATTTTTTTATTAGCTTTTTGAGCCTGTGTAATCATAAGCATTATTTTCTGGAGAAGCAGGAAGATTTAAACCCTGAATTGCACATGTGAAGGTGTTTAAATGGCAAGTTTAGTGTAAATTCTCACAGTCCAGATATTTGAAACTTCTGTTAACTGGAATACATTACAATTCTTCTGGAATACAGCTACAGTAAAGATGTTACTTTTCATTTTTTTCTGACAGGAGAGGATCACTATGGTAGTAATTAGATCTTTGTTTTATCACGTCATCAAATAATGATCCTATCATTTTGTATTTCTGTTATTCATTTCCATATTGAAGTCAGTGATTTTTCCTCCTCTTTTTTGTTCATGTTAATTTTTCTTTATTTTTTGTTTTTATAGGAGAATTCTAATACAGATTTGAAGTAGTTTCAGCAAACTGTATTAGTCTATAAGTTTACTCAATTTACATATATGAAAAGTACTGCAGTTGGATGATAACTACAGCACTGCTGGATGCTCATGCCAATTGCCAAGTAGTTTAATTCAAACTTAGCATCTGATCTGCATTCTTTTGCAGATAACTTATTCAACTAATATTAATAATAAATATAACTGGATTTTTTTTAAACAAGGTAATTAACAATGTTTCTTCTAGCAAATACTACTAAATCAAAACTTTAAATATGTTTAGAATTAATTATCCATTCCAAAACATTTTCAAATTTTGCAAATGTCAAAGGCATTTTCCAAATGAAAAATTTGCAAGTTTGTATTTAAGCTATGTTCATTGAGAAATTACATTTGTGTAAAGTAAGAGGTTTCAATAAAACAAAAATTCTTCAGAATTACTGAACCGAAACACTAATTATTTGACTTGCTTTGGTAAATAACTTTTTTTTACCCTTTTATTTTAATTTAAGCTAGGAAGAGTTTCAAAATATCAGAAATTCTCTCACAAAAGGAAAACTGACTGCTGCTCAATTATTTTTTTAATACTTATGGAAATTATTTTCCAAAATACTTACTTAGGAAACGACATATACATAATACTCTGGCATACTTCATAAAAGTCTAGAATCCTAAAGCAGCTAGGCTAAATTAGACATGGAAAATAAGAAATCCTGAATTTAAAACCAGTACTTTAAAAAAAACATGAATGCCATCAAAATCACATGGCTATCACATGAGTAGCATAAATAGTGAAGGAACATACTAGAATATATTTCAGAACCAAATCTGGCCCTGGATTTACAGTCTATGTATCATTTATTTTCCTGCCTTTGTACCTTCTCTAAGAGTACATATAACCAGGTAAAGAGAAGTACAAAATGTGTCTCCAGACAGAAGCCATATTCTTGATGTGCATGCTATGAAAACATGTATACCTTGAGACAATCTATTTTTCTTTATGTGCCATGAGATTAAAACCCATTTTCTCCTATAGCTCCCTGAATTCAGAATGTCTTTGACAGTTTTCCCCTGAACTGACAGAAGAATGAATCAGAAATAAAATCTGGTCTTTAATTTTCATTCACTTTATTTTAAAGTAAGACACTTTACATACTATTCTCTTTATCTCATGTATTTGCAGGGAAGAGCAGAAATAAGGCATACAGATAAGATTAACTCAATATACAATGATCAAATAGGCAGAATTCTCACTAATATAATTAACGTGAACATCACTAGTGCTTGTATGATGAGTACTTCTAGAGGTCAGGATCCCATTTTGTTAAGTAACATACAGAGTTAATCACTGTTGTCTAAAAAAACAGTGTGAAGTTTGCCCAGTTAAAGACTGCAGATATTATCTGTAAATGGAGAAAATTAAACCAAATCAGAAGTCATGATTATGGCTAGTTTCCTCTTTTCTCTAAATAGATTACAGAATCTATAAACAAATAGGAAAATTATGTGCTTGTTAAAGCTGCTGCATTATTTCTGACAGACACTGATAGGGCTGAAATTTCAACCAGTTAAGATAAACTGTGGACTCAAGAAGTTACTAAGGTAATGGTGCAGTACTTGCTATTGAGTGACTAGTAATATTTCTGTAAATATAGTCTTGCTTTTTTTCTTTTTTTCTTCTTTTTTAAACAGGATGATGATGTAAGGGAAAGTCAGTTTAGCTTTACAGCATATGGAATGGGTCCATGTCTGCAAGCAAAAGATGGAGTGACACAAAAGGGGCCAAATAATCCTGTTCAAGCTGCACCAAAAAACCCTGATGAGATGAGAAAGGTATTCATTGACCGGGCCAAGAAGATAGACACAATATCTAGAGCTTGCTTCCCATTAGCCTTTCTAATTTTCAATATTTTTTACTGGGTAATTTACAAAATCATCAGGCATGAGGACATTCACCAATAACAAGATTAAGGCTTACAGTATATACAGAACTGGGGGCCGTGTTCAACGGGAGGCTTTCTGTTAGAAATGTGCATCAGAGGAGTGATCAGGAGAGAGTTAAGAGCATTGAGAGAGAAAAAAAAACATCCTGCATGGCCTTTGATGCCCAGCCACAGTGGAATGGAGGAGTGACACCCAGAGAAAATACATCTGCTATTGCAAACTTTGTGTCAAACTAAATATTAAGAACTTTTTCATTGTAAATCACTCTACTGAAGCTTTACTGCCAGGTATTTATACATACTATTACATAGTGGTATAACTGTACAGTACTCTTTGATGTTCCTTAATTTTTTTTTTTAATTCTGGTGTATTTTTAATTAAAGAAATGGATCCAGAATACCCTAGGTAAATCCTGGAGTATTACAGAACAGATTAATATTTGTAATCTGTATTTCAATTTTACAAGACAATGACAAATTACTGATTTGAGATTACAGTTTTAAGAACTTTTTCTTGTCTTAAGGTCAGTACCTGTGGTTTTGCAATGAGCACATTTAACAAATTTAAGTTATATAATTTATTCAATATACTTCATATAACCATTCCCCTGGAAGGTGGATGTTGAAAGAATCTCATACAGCACAAGGTATCTACAGCCTAATAGTCTGCATATCACACGAGAAATATATTAAAATTTGTACAGCATTGATTTCTGCAAAGGATTTTTTTTCTTCTATTAATTACCTACACCTTTATAATTCAAACATAATGTTTTTTAATTTTTTTATATTTTTGAAGGAGTTTTTTCTCAGTTGATAGAACTCACACTTGTGAGATAGACAAACTTCATCAACATTTTTCAATGCTTCATTCTGCAATTCAAAGAGATCTTGGATCAAAACTAAAAGAAGATAGACAATGGCTTCACTGAAACATTTGGAGGACAAGTACGGCTGTGTTTATGCCCACTTATCTCCTACATGTTACATAAATACAAGAAGTTTAATTTATGAATATATCAAGTTTTCTGACTCATTCTTTGAAGTATATTGATATGACTTAGATACTGGTTAAGAAGCACTTCACAACTTTGGAAAAACATGCAGCTCTTCTAAAACATGAAAAAGGATCTGTATGGTCTTTTACATTTATTGTACTTCATATTAATAAACAGGAGAAAAACTATTAAAACTCTTGGAAAGATTATCCCTGTTTAGAATTAAGTAAGTCATATTAGTTGCTTCTTCAAATTGCAACACAATAGACCACATTTATGGCATAGCTTGTAGGCAAGAGTGTTTATTTTTGCCACTTTTGTTTATTGAAAAACAAAAACATGCTAAAAAATGGAAATCTGATGTTTAGAATTACTAGATACTTTAAGTCCAGTATCTGAGGCTGTTTCTCATTGCAAAGTATTTTTGTTTTGAACATGGTTTAAATTTTTGGTTTGGTTTTACTCAGAATGTGTATACAAAAGCAAAATCAGCTGGAGGCAAACATCTGGTGCACTGCCAAAGGCACGGTGCATATGAAGCAACAGAAGCAACATAACTCTGCATTAAGGATTACAACATAGCAACCTTGGGTATGGTTGGGTTTGTTGTTGTTTTCCTCCAAGGATTAGTTAAAGAGATTCTAAAACAGTCATTCACAGATATTTTTTTTACCTGTGTCAGAAAGGAACTGTATAATCTTTTTTATTTTAAAACACTGTTACTTTTTATATTTTTACTTCATTTATGATCTGAAATGAATTCAAATGATTTTAAACAATTATTGCTTTCTGAGGTTGTTTGTGTCTTGTTTTTGTAGATTTCTTTATGTGCATGTTCCAAAAAACCCTATTTGTGTATGAAGATGCTCATCTGTGTGAGGGGTTATCATGATCTAATGGCTGACATTTCAGTTGGGTTATATTAATCTCTCTCAAATTTATCACTATCTGTATTGTATGAAAAAGGATGTTAATTTGCTTCTGCTATCACCAAAGTCATCAGTATTTTGTTTAGGACTGCCTGAAGTACTGGATCCATAATCAAGAGGCAATCATAAAAAAATTACATTATCTTTCAGGCTCATATTTCTTTTTTCCTTCTAAAATAGCTGACTTGCATTCAATAAAGAATTCTTAATTGAGGGGTAAGTGTATAAAAATTTGCTGACCAGATCAGAATAACTCCTAGTTAGTGTAGTTTATAACACCTGAGTACCTGATTCACATTTCCCAATCATTCAATAGTCTGTTGCTCTCACTTACGCAGTAGTACTACCTTGTTTTGAAATCATTCACAAATTTGAGTAATGCAGAGCTAAACAAATTTAGTCCTAATTTTTTGTCATTCTTTAAGGCAGAAAAGGTCTATGCCCTCAAATAGAGAAATCAGACAGGAAATTTTGAAAGTCATGAAAAAGAGATTACAACACTGGCAAAATGTAACAGGGAATCAGAAGGAATGTAAATTGTTAAGCCAGGACAAGATCCTTCATTCATATATGAACCTATTGGCTCAGTGAAGGGGAAGAACCCTTGTGCCACATTTCTCTGACTAGAGTAAGCTAATCTAAGGAAAAATTACAGTGTATATCATATATAAAATAAAAAGCATAAATCTACATTTTAATTCTTTTCTGACCTCCCTAATGGAATGTTACCTGTATGTTCTATTTAAAATTAGATTTGTAGATTTAATGACTGGATCTAGTGCCTAGTGTTGCCTCTCAGGGTACATCTCTTCAGCTGTGCACTACGGTGAGAAAGAGGGTCTCAGACCTGGCCAATGGAAAGTAAATCTCTTCCTCTGCATAGTTATATTTCTCTTTCATAGGCCATTACATTGGGAAGTTGAGCATACCCTACTTCTATACTGCAAATTTACATAAAAGGCTCAATATTCTAACAGTGCACATTGAAAATAGAGAGAATTAAATGTTTAAAACATCATTATGACAACTCTACAGTGTTGCTGGAACATTTTTTTTTATTTAGCAATCCATTAACAAGAAAAGTATTTCAGAGGGGAAAAGCAAAAAAAGGTTCCATGATGATTTTTCAAATGCACATAACAGTTGGCATGTCATTCTGTTGCCCTCAGGTTAAGTAAAGATTTTCTGTTTTGATGTAATGGAACTAAGATCTCTCCTGAACTGATGGGTTTGTGGTTTTTTACTGGAACCATAACATTTGCCAAGGTAACAGAAGCCTCTGCAGTCCACTAAATATGTTTTTCAAAAGAAAGCAGCACTTAAAATGTAAATTTAATTTAGATTATTCCTAAATGACTTAGTGTAAAGTCACATGGTAAAGAGACAGAGAAATGTCATTTGAGATTATAAGAAACTTCAAGGCACAAATGACTGCTCTTTACCACTGACTGGGGAAAAGTCCATAAATGCCAGCAGGCATGTCAGCCCTCTGTACAAAGCTAGAATAAACAGCTACTGTCATCAGCCAAGATTAGTGTTGGAGATGATTCTTTTGTAACTGTATAATGAAGTAGCAAGGAATTACATTAAGATGCAAGAATTGAAAGGTACTCTGCAGTAATATCAGACTGCAGTACTTATGCTACAATCCTGTGAAACAGGCAGTAGAGAGGCAGAAAAATAATCATCAAGGAAATAATGCTTGAGGCAGAGGCTACCTAGCAGACTTCTCCTACAAATAAAAAGACCCCATTCATTAGGCTGAAGTAGATAGCTACCTCACCTCACTATCACCGAACCTGGACTCTGCAGAATATGGGTCTTTAGCAAAGCCACAAAGAAGGCTTCTTGCAAGCACAACCCCTGTGCGACAGGCTAACGCAGCTTTGGCCCAAGTCATTATTCACCATAAGTGCAGACTCTGTCCTGCTCAGGTCATGTTTTTGTGATTTCAGTAGACCAGACCTATACTTCAGAAATAAAATACTGACACTGGGAGATCATTGCAACACAATGAAAACAGAGTGAGAAACTATAGGATGTAGAGGGATACTCCAGTAACACAGCTACCAAAGACCTGACACAGTCACCGTAAAGGGAAAAGAAGGAACCATGAGTCAGCCGTACTACTCTTCACCATCCCCCAGTATCCTCTCCATAGGTACACTTGTCCAGGTGGAAGCAGTAGCTGCAGCATGAAACAATTTATGTCAACTGCTGCAAAGTATATATCCTCTTGAGACAGCATTTTCTACCTGTGTGGACAGAGAATTGACTTCCACACCATGAGATTTCTTAATAGAAAGAGAAGCGGAGCAGGAAGGTACAGGATGAAAAGCATGGGCTGTATATAGCATAACAGGGACCACAGGGAGAGAGAAAGCCCAAAGCAGTGCCTGGAACCTCTCATATGACTCTTTCCTTCCTGCACTAAAGAGAGTTGTAGCCAATTCCATGTAATCTCTCATAAGGCCAAAAACTTCAAGACCTTGAGAGAGGATAAGAAAGGTCCCTTAGAGGAGCAGTAGATGTTCTCAACTACCACAGTACCAAACTCCTGCTTAAATTATAAACAGTATATTAGCATACTGTATTAAAATATCAACAAAATGGGCTTCCATGGTTAGAGGGTTATTTCTCTTATAATGTTTTTTTCTCTATAATGCTGATGAACTAGAGGAGGTTTGAAGGATAAAGAGAAGAAGGGATGCTAGTGTTTTACTATATAGAATTTAGCTATTTTAACACCAAAATAAAGTGCATTCTACTTTTAAGCTTTGACAGCAACTGCTATTATCTAAGCAGATTAGTAGAATTCAGAAAGAACATGGGATTTAAATATTTTTTCAACTCTATCATATATTGGTTTTCTTTGGATTCTCTTTATCAGAGTTCGTTCCAAAACCTTTTATAGGGATGCTTTATAAAAAATCCTTTGTGATCTGTAAGAGATTATTCTGTTTACTCACTAGAAAGACTTATATTTAGGTGATTTAGAGATGTGCACTTTACATTTAAGGAGTAAGGTATTGCTTCCACTTTGTACTATAACCCCTTATAGAACTGTAGGTTGATAATGTAGATGAAAATAGAATATAATACACTGTACAAAACATTATATTTTTAACAGTAGGGAAAGATAAAACGTCTTCCTTAACCTTAAAAAAAAAAAAAAAGTATTATTTTTAGCAATAATTTTGTATTCAATGTAAATTTATTTATATAGTTCCCAGCCCAAGCTAAGATGGTTGGTTGCAAAAGATAGCTATACTTTATGTACAACTTCTGCTCTCATTTGAGCTATCATAGGAGTTAATCTAATCCAACAGAGCAGAATTTGGCCTTAAACTGTGAAACTGCTGAATGAGGTATTAATTCTTACAGTACCCCTGTGAGGTAGTAAAATAACTCTATCCACATCTTACTGTACAATCATATGGTTATTTAGATGAGAAAAGTATCAGATCATCACAGCTTTTTTTCTTTTTGAGACAACTAAGAAGAAAAATACAAATAACAAACCAAACTACTTGTTAATAATAAAATGGATATTCTGTTTTGGAGTGGTTATGAAAAAGGTGCCTTCAGGCAAAACACATCACCCACAGTAGTTACTGAAATACTACCAGTTTGGAAGGCTTGTGGAAGCAGGTTAGATTGCTTGAAGCAGTGGGTTAAATGCCAGAAAAATATTGGCTCATCCCGTATTCTTGAGTTCTTGAATATTACTGCACTTCTTCACTTTCATCTTTGTGAAATATGCAAGAAACATTTCTTATGTTTGTATTTTAATGTATGACAGTGATGTTAACAGATGAAATGGACTAAAGTAGCTACTGATGTTCCATGAATGTGTAATTGTGAGCTGTATAAAAAGAAATTGTGCCATAAGCTTTTGACATAAAGGTTTAACATAATATACAGTAGTTTGTGTGTTAGTGATCCTGTCTTCTTTAAAGGCTACAGCAAGAAAAAAGAAAATAATTAATATGACAGTGTATTAATAACTTGTCTGTGAGTTGTCAAAATACTCTCCTGTGAATTCTGTCTAATGGCAATTTCATCTCAAAGTACCTCCTTTTTGGTAAAACTCTATAAATGTGTTGTGCATGGATTTGATTAAATTCCTTTTTATTGTATTACAGTATCATACTGCACTTAACTGACATCCTCTGAAGATAGAAGTGTTTAAAATACGTGAAATTTATGGTGTCATCTATGTCATTGTAGATATTTTGTTAAAAAAAAAAAATAAACTTAACTTTTTCCAGAAAACATGCAATTATTTTTATGATACTTTAGGCAATGCATTTAAAGTCACAGCAGGGACTATCAGAAATTGGAAAAAAAGGATGAAACCCTCAACAGCAGTTAGGGTGCATTACCATTAAATATTTCAGGAGTCAAACTTGAGAGACAAGGAATGCAGTGCCTTTGTTTTTTATATTATTCAGATTAAGCTTCAAAATATTTTGACTGCCATAATGAAATATACAAAGAGGTGTTTTCAGGGAGCATGATGGAGGATGGCAGGCACTGAATCAGGAGTCTGATCAGTGTAGGACTTCCTTTTTCAGCAAATGGACAGAAAGAGATCTCTCCAGAGGAGAGGCAGAGGATGGGCTCCAGTTCTGAAAAAAGCTCATTCTGAAAACTCAGGGAAGGCATTATTTATCTTGATAAATGCATATTCAAAGAAGTACAGCCACTCCAAAATAGTCCTGCAGAAATTCTTTGCTTTTTTTGGCAATAAGATCACTTACAGCAAAATAGCCTAATGGAAACTTTATAGATCTCTGGGTCCTCCTAAGTACTCCTTGACAGAAAAATTATTTCAAGAAAACTGAAATAAGCAAATAAGAAGTCCTTTGAAAACAGTCTGAGTTCTGCTAATCTGATTACAGCAGTGTTAATATGCTTATAAAGAGTATATAAGATTGTCATCTTAGTAACAGCCTCATGTCAATGTAATGCCATTTAGACTAGAATTTTTTAGTAGTCTCAACACAAATGCTTTGTGCTCCCTGCCCTCACATGCCAAAAAGTAACAACAGTTCACTCCTTTTAACTTGTTTTTCATGTCAATGGGATACAAATACAAGAATTTGCCATACTCACAAATTAAGTATTTCCATTACCTGTTGGTAATAATTCAGTTCAGCAGTGTATGGCTTGGAGTTTTATGAAATGGAAATTTCTCAAAAGAACAGCCAAATCTAACAAGAGCACCAGTGGAATCTGAGAAGAAATCCTGAGCATGCCCTCACAGAGCCCACAGAACTGCATGATCAGATCCCTTGTATTTATGACAGCTGTTGCTACAGCAGTTCTATACTAACTTGTCTTCCTAAGAGCAAAGTATAACTGGTACCTCTGGCCTTCTTCAGGTATATTCACAAGCAACAATGTCATGAAACTACTGCAGTAGCAAATGTTTTCATGCTGAGGTGCACAGTTCCCAGAGCATGGAAGCTGCAAATATGTTGTACCAGGTGTGCAACAAGCAATTGAACAAGAAAATAACAGTCAGGTATATGACCCAAGGGTCATAGAAAAATGTAGTCATAGATCTTAAAAAGATCAATATGTGATTGTTTTGCATAAACTGTGCAGCTCTTTCAACACAATTCTGGAAAAACTGATATCAAATATCCTCTTTTTCATGTTTTCATATATAGCTACCTAATTATTTTTAAATGAAATAAATATTTCATTCCATGGAGTTCATGCAGTGGATTTTATTTCTAGTATCATACTCTCTATACACTAGAAGGATCTGAGAACATTTTTTTCTGATTTAGACCCTGCACAACAATCTATCAAAGTCACAAAACTAGAATTACAGGGAAAATTTCATTTTGGAAATAAATGAAACTTTTTCAAATTTTGAATAATATACTTCTAAACTTTTAATTAACAAGTATATATTTTTTATCTAATATATTTTTATTGTGAAAATTTTTATATTTCAACATTTACTTCCCAGACTCACAAAATCACAGAATGGTTGAGACTGGAAGGGATCTCTGGAGACCATCTTGTCCAAACCCTCTGCTCAAGCAGAGCCACCTAGAGCCGGTTGCCCAGGACCATGCTCAGATGGGTTTTGAATATCTCCAAGGATGGAGACTCCAGAGCTTATGTGGGAAACCTGTGCTCAGTCACCCTCAGAGTAAAAAAGTGTTTCCTAATAATCAGAGGAAAGCTCCTGTGTTTTGATTTGTGCCCATTGCCTCTTGTCCTAGATAACACTGAAAAGAGCCTATCTCCATCTTTTTGCACCCTCCATCCAACTTTTTTTAAAAAATTGATGAGATCCTCAGAACTGGACACAGTGTGAGCGGTCATACCAGTGCTGAGTAGAGGGGAAAGATCATCTCCCTCGACCTGCTGGCAACACTCCTAATGCAGCCAAGGATATCACTATTCTTTGCAGCAAGTGCACATTGCTGGCTCATGTTCAACCTGGTGCCCACATGACCCTCAGCTCTTTTTCTGCACACCTGCTTTCCAGATTGTCATCCCCCAGCATACACTGGTGCACAGGATTGTTGCTCCCTGGGTACACGACTCTGCATTTCCCCTCAATACTGAAAAAACTTTTTTGGTAGTGTTAGCCTCTATTTAAGTAATCTGCATTTAAAACCTCCACTGAGGTAATGAGCTCAGCCTGAAACCCACTGGTGTTTTAATTCCTCTCTTAACAAGCCAGACAACACACCTAACCTACCCTGAAAACCAGTGTGTAACTTTGGATATGCTTAGTTATTCTCATTAGGCATGTTCAGCAGGTACAGAAGACATTCAAATGGTCGTTTTTAAAAGCACTTGATGCTGCGGCTTGTTTGCCATTGCATGAAGTAGGTGTAAATCTCATGTAGGTATATAAGATCAGAACAAGCCCAAACACTATTAGAATTTGGCTGAACTTATTTAAAATAAGAGGATACTGGAAATTCTCACAGATTTAAATTGTACTTGATTGCATTGTATGCGA